TTTTGAGAATAATTTTGTTGTTTAAAAATTAAAAAAATTATTATATAAATATCATAGCTTATAATATATTATTTTTGTATAATTTTATTTGTATTATATATAGGAAAATAAAATAATTATAAAAAGATCTCATCTTATAATATTTATATCATATATAGAAAATATTTTATATGATATTTAATTTTTTAAGTAACAAGTAACGCGTTCCTTTCTAGTAACGCGCGTTCCTTTTTTCAAATGAGGCGTTCTCTTTTTTTGACGTAACGAGTAACGCGTTCCTTTTTTGGGTAACATTTATCGCACTCTTAATAAATAATTTATTCATAAAAAGAAAATAATGTCGCCCAGCTAATGTAGAAATATTGATTTGTGTAAATTTTTTACATATAATTAAAATATATACCATAAATATGATTTAAATATTAGTGGTATCGATTTTGTAAAGGTACATATATTATTATAATCGCGAGTGTCGGTGCATTATTACAATAACATTATAAAAAAAATTATGATCAATATTAATCATTTTATCATAATAATTATTAGAACTTTTTTTTCTCGTTTTATATTTTTAAAAAAATTTCTAATTTATTTATGAGTATGCGGTTTTCCTAAGTGATCGGAGTTGGTCAAAGTTAGATAATTTAATAATAGTTAATGGGTCAAATTTCAAAGAAAAACAGAGATTAAAGATACGCAATAGGCGAGTTTTAGCAAAACCTCCCAATTTCGGAGAAAAAAACTATTCAACTACTAGCATAGTTAAAAGTGTTACATCCGTTCATCTCGTTTGAAATAAAAGAAGATTTTATTTTGATTATTATGCCTTTTTTAATTTAAATTTATAAAATATGCTAAATTTTGAAATAAAATATTAATTTTTGTAAAAATAAATATTAGCCCGCCCCTAATCGCATGCTTTGATGCGAATCTCTAAAACAGTCTAATAGTGCGCACAAATTTAGCGTTTAAACGCAGCGTTAACTCAAATAATACATTTTAAATTTATTAGTTTAAATTGGACAGCAAATTTTTTTCGTTTTAAGTTTAGACGTTTCATATTTAAAAAAAAAATTAAAATTAAAGGTTCAATTTAAATATAGCTGTATTGTTTATTTTTTATATGCGTTTTGAAATGCTGCGTTTGAAAAGTTCAATTTGTGCGCACTATAAGACTAATATTTTAAAATTATTTTTTTGAAGAAAACTTTCTAAAAAAAACGAATGAAAATATTTATAAGGTAAAATCAACTAAATAAAGGAAAAAAAGTAAGTGCATATATAACACTATTAAGATAGGACTTTCATCTTAGAATGATTTACCTTGTATTCACAGTTAGTGCTAATTCGCGATGAATTATATAAAATACGCTGTATTTCTGTATTCTGCACCGAGAATTCGCCTTAACTATAAACGAGGAGTTGCCCAGCATTCATAGTAGTTAGCACGCGTCGAAGTATTACAAAATATGCTGTATTTTTTGCGTATAACCTTGTATATTTCGCTGCGAAGGCACGCTAATTGTGAATGTAGTGTTTTACTTCAAAGTCATTTCTCAACGTCATCATTTGTCTACCGAGTTTCGATCGAGTCCTTTTGAATTAGATCAATTTATACATTTTGTAAATATTTTTTATTCAAATGGAATAATTAAAAGAAAACATATTCTCCAATAAAGATTAATATTTTTTAAAAAAATTATAATTTAAATAGTAAAAATTTTTTTTTTATTTCGCTTAGAAAAAAATAACGGAAAATCGAGTTAACAAAAATAATAAATTGGATAAAGTTGGCTATTATTCAGGTTATATTTCAATTTCCGGTTTCCATTGATCAATTTTTGAAAAAATTAAATTAAGTTTCTATATTTTTTGTAAATTAACGAGTAATATTTAATTCGATAATTAATAAAATAACTGTAATTCGTAATGCGAATACGTTTACAATAAATTTGATATAATTAATAATTATTCAGTTTAAAAAACAAATATTATCTATGTATTTGAATCAAATGAATATATAATAGAATATTATGATTTTTAACAGGTGTGCCCAATTTTGAAATAGAAAAAAAATTCACCAAGGTTACCATAGAATTACTTTTTGGATCATTTATTTCACATCATATAATATTCAATAAAAAAAAAACTTTATGAAATATATGTTTTTTTGAAAAATAAATAATTTTTACTATCTGGTCATTTGATTAAATTTTTTAAGTATTTCATTTACATGTAATTTATTTAACATTTTAAAGATAAATTCGACATTTAAATATTTTCTCTACAAACCGTTCGTGATCATCTATGATTATAAATTAAAGCCATTTTTCATATTAAAAAAATAAATAAAGAGTGGGTTAGAATAATAAAATATTTTAAACTATGTATTATATTTCACAAAAAAAAAAGATGAAATTATAAAAAATATGTCACGGTGTTTATGGTTATGTAATGTGATGTGAATGTTATATTATATATTTTTTGATTTAAATGTTATCTTATTTTTTTTGTATTCTTGTTAGGGTTTTATATTATACGTAAAATCATTGTTCATTCTATCGGCTGGATCAAGCCCGGGTCGGGTTGATTGAAGACATTATCCGATTTCAATTATCCGATGTGGTGGCAGGCTTCTAAATAAAAACATTTTGAATTTAATATTGAAAAAAAAAGAAAAGAAAGAAAGTAATTAGCATATAAACACCAGAGGAAATATAATAATTTATTTTAATGAAGATTATTAATTACGTTTCACAGAAAAAAAAAAGGATCGTTATATTTTTTCTATCCATCGCATTTTAAAAAAAAGAATAATCTGGACATGGATAATTCCAACCTTACCCGAACCTAATAATTAATTGTCGCATTATTTATAATTTTTTTTAGTAAAATGTAATTAAAGGTCACCCTTATAATAAAGTTTTTGATGGTAAGTAAGTCTAACTAAAGGCCTCAGCTATACGCCTAAACTATCATAAGAGTACCTTACTAGTTTTTAGAAAACCTTCTTGCAGAGTCAAGAACACAATAAATTCATTCTATTATTGGTTCACCATGCTTTTTTTTACAAGTGTAAAATATGAAAACGTTGTGCAAAAAATTTCTTAAAAAGTCCTTAAGGAATAAAGAATTTTTTTTTTTTACCCCTCTTACTTTATTTCTGAAAAATTTTGCGAAAAAATTAAAAAATGTTAAAAAAAAATGAATAACGAAATTCAGTAGGTTAAAATTTGAGTTGTAACATGATGACATTTCAAAAATTTTTTTTTTGAAAAGTAAATTCAAGATAATATGTTAATGTTATATATTATATGTTATATATGTTATTAAAGTATAATTTAACCCACAATTTTAATTAAAAATAAATTTGATGATTTTTTTTTAAAACTGAGACAAAATAATAACAAAAAAAAATTTCGATTAAGAAATGAAAATAAAAATATATATATAAAAAATAGAATGAAACTAAACTTTTTCAAAGAAAAAATGTTAAAATTATGTTGTAATGTTGTTGTTGTTAAAAAGCCCGATTTAATTTTCAAAACGACCCGATTAAGATTTTGGTTACAATAATATTATGTATGCATAAAATGGTAAATAGATATCATTTCTGCCAGCTATGAGAAAAATCTTTTGGCTTGCATAAAGTCATTTTGGTTATGATCTGGGACTTTATAATTGACTTGAATCGGCCTTTTTTTGATGAATGGTGGATATATTTTTTTTTAAAAAATGAATTAAGTTTGATGATGAATTTTCAAGTCAATCCTACAAGGAGAAATATATTTAGGAAAATTATAGATTCCTTATAATGTCAATGTATACAATTAAGATATTGTTTCGTGATATTTCCTATTATTTTAAAAAATTTATATAATTAGAGTTTTTTTTAGCATGAATACCTGCATTTTAGAAACTATTTTTTATTATAAATTTTTTTAAAAATATTTGTGATTTCATCATAAAAGGAGATTTTTATGCATAAATCAAAAAAAAGATTTAATTATAAAAAAAAAATTGTTCAAAAAATCTTTTTTCAAAGATTTAAAAAAATTATTCAGAAAATCAAAAATATTTGAAATTATTACCTCTTATTTAAAAATTAAAATTAACAAAATTAAATAATATTCGCAAATAAAAAAATGTAATTGAAAAAAAAAAATTTAAATAAGAAAATGATAATTATGATAATATAACATATGAAAAATTTCTGTCTAGGAATGATACCGTTACCCTAAACTATTCACCATGTTATTATAATAACTAATATATTATATTTTAATTACCCATAAATATCTTAGAAAATTTTGTAAAGCGAAAGATGATATACCCTGTAAATGTAATTATTTTAAATGATAAAAAAAAAATTTATGTAATTTTTTCAAATTATATTTGACCCGCACTATGCTTTATTTGAAAAAAGTAAAATATATTTAATATATTTTTTAGTAATTATTTATATATATAAATATATATATACTCAATTTTTATTGATTTTTTTTTAAAGAAAAATATTCTCTATTATTTTTAATTTTCTTTATCCTTTATTTTTATAAAATTTTTGTTACATATTATATAAAAATAATAAAATCTACCTCTTATATTACCTTTATTACTTAGTGTGGAATTGATCTACTTTTGAAATTAAAAAAAAAATGAAATAAAAAATATTTTTTAATTACATATCAATTTTTTTATTTAAAAAAAAATCCATTAAATTTAAAAAAATTTAAAAAGAAAAAAAAAGATGAGTTTTATAAAATAAAATAATATCGAAAAAATATTGTATATTTGAAAAAAAATTAAAAAATGAATAAAAATTGGTATTGACAAGCAGTATTTGAAGATTTTATCTTTGTTTGACCCCGCCAAAAATATTGAAAATTTTGATGGAAATTTAAATCCCATTTAACATACACATACACATCAAATTCAATGTAATTATTTCAATTTATCGGAACCAAAAAAATTTCGCAACGAAATGATTGTATCAAGATTTGTTCGCTTGTTCTATTCGGCTTTATTGAATTCATTTCTAATTGATCTGGTTTATGGAGGATGTAAGAAACAAACTTTGCATATATAATGTAAAATGGACGAAGAAATAGGAAAAAATGGAAAGGAAGGAAGGAAGGAAGGAAGGAAGGAAGGAAGGAAGGAAGGAAGGAAGGAAGGAAGGAAGGAAGGAAGGAAGGAAGGAAGGAAAGAAAAGAAAGAAAAGAAAAAGAAAGATAAAAGATCGAGAGAGAAAATAAAACACGAAATAAATTTTATTATTTTTTTCAGGTGGAGGTTCTCATTCACCTTATTTAATTCAGGATATTGATTTCAGACGGATTATAGTCAAAGAAAATGCAGAATTAAGTATACTATTTTTTTTCCAAATAGAATTATTTTATTATTATAAACAATCGATAACATATATAAAAATATCATTAACGAAAAAATTAAAATGATTGTAAAATATGATGTAGTAGGGGCTCAACGAATCGGGGGTTCTAGCAAATTTTTGAAACTTTAATAATTTTGAATAGCACGTTTTTTTATATTTGGAATACGAGAGAGATTGTACCCCTAGCCTGATATAAAGTACCCAATATATAGATTTTTTTGAAATTCATACGATCAGTGTTACTCTACACATGCTAAAATACGATTATGATGAAAACAGATCTTTAAAGATAAAAACGGGTGTTTAAATGTCAAAATGTTGCTAAAAATTGGGCAATAAAATATAACCTTAAATTTTCCAGACTCCTAACCTAGGACATTCAGGGTTGAGCAAATTTTAAAATAATATATTCTAAAATACAAATACAGTTTTTAAAAAAAATTATCTGAATACAAATACTTTGACCAAAACATTTTTCATAAATAAATTCTTTGACTAATACTTTTTGAGTCAATCCTTAACTGAAATTAAATAATATTTTTTATTAATGATCATTATCTTAAATTTATCGAATATCTGCACTGATGCAAACACTATAACTAATATATTTAAGTTGCAAAAGTAGTATATCACAATAATTATATAATAATTTTCAAATATAGTTAATATCACAGTTTTACAGAGCATAAAATATTTTTGGAGGATGAAATCGCTTATGATTTCTGTTTTATTTACATTTGTGCAGATATTAATTTAGCCAAAAAATTTCAATCCAAAATTAGCAAATTACATCTAGAGGAGGATGTTAACGTTATCACAGAATAAGTAACCTGCAAAAATATCTTATAAACAAAATAGGAAACCCCTCGTCTTCAAAAAAAAACAACTTATATTTTGGTTTTTGCTTTCCGTAATTTACTTATTTTAAAAATAAAATTAGATTCAAAATAGTGATCTGCATCGGGCCTAATTTTTCAAGCCCGGCCCGGCCCGGCCCGAAATTTTTTTAAAAAAGTTTTGCCGGCACGGCCCGAACCCGAAATTTTTTTTAAAAAAAATTTACCGACTAGACCCTGCCCGAATTTATTTAATTGTAGAAATTTATTTTTATAATTACTCAAAATAAAAGACATATGTTATATGTCGTTTTTCAATAAATAAAATCAAATATTTTTATTTTACATAAAAATTTCAATATAAAATTGATAAATTAAGATATATTTTAAAAAAAATTCCAAGGTCCGACCCGACCCGGCCCAATTTTTTTTAAAAATATTAGGCCCGGCCCGAACCCGATTATTTTAAATATAATTAGGCCCGAGCCCGGCCCGAAAGCCAGTTCGGGTCGAACTCGGGTCGGGTACGGGCCGGACCTAACTTTGCAGATCTCTAATTCAAAATGTAAGATGTTAATTATTTCTCTAACTCGGCGGTTTACAAATCTAATATTTAAATATTACATTTTATCAATTTAAAAAATGTATTTGCATTTATGTTATTCAGAAAATCGTGAAATCGTTATAATTACAAAATATTTATTAATTTTTCAGTAAATCAATCGCGTTACTGTCCAGCCTTGAGGAGTTGTATAAATATATATTGCTAGATTAATTTCACAACGTCTATCAAATTTCATTAATAAAACTTTTCTATTCAGTTTTTCCGTCATTCCCCCTTTAATCTTCACTGGAAATATTTTTAAAAAAATTTATTCATAAAAAGTGTTTTTTGGTGTAAAAAACTCAAGGGTTCATAGATCAACTCAATTTTGAAATCTATTCAGAATAACAGTCATTGGGTAGATATCTTTAAATGACTCTTATATGCTTATTCATATTTTTCTTAATTCTTTCATAACAATCTACAAAGAATTTTAAAGAGAAAAAGACGAATTAAGACTCAGCCTCATAATCAACAAATATTTTTTAAAAAAATCGGTTGATTGGAAATTAGAGTCTCCTATCCATTTTTAAAGTTTTAAAAAAATTATAACGAATTTATATAGATTAGAGGAAAAATAGGAAAAATAAAATTGCTATAAATATTGAAATACTTAATTTTTTTTGATATCTAAAAATTTGATTTTTACCGTGGATCAGAATTGCAGCGTTTTTCGGTTCAAATTTAGGTTTTCACATAAAAATAATGATTCATGTGTCATGTTCGATTCGCAAATAAATAATAGTATCGCTTTAGTTCGAGTCTTTTCGCAAACAAAATCTTATTAAAAATTATTTAAAGTGAAGCGCATTTTTTTTTTAATTAATAAATTCTATCACTATTTCCTAAAAATAAAAATTGAGCCCATATATACAATTAAAATATATTTCTTTTACATATATAAGGAAAAGGAGTAAATTTTTATGGCTAAAAAAAACTAGATTTGTTGCATCAAATTGCTAATGAAAAAAAATAATATTATAAATGCTATTGATACTCTTCTAACAATTTTGATTTTCATTATCGAAATATTTGGATATGTAAAAAGGTTTTAAACCGGACCGATTTACAGACCTCATTATAAAGGTTCAACTTAGGTTAGAGTCTAGCTAAAATTTTTAGCGATTTAAGCTCGGTTTAGATTCTATAAATAATAACCCCTAATACCGCTTTAACCTTTCAATTCAAGTTCGGACTGGTGGATAGTTTCAATTTTTACGCATTTTAAATAAGCGATTTAAAAAAATAGAAAGTATATTGCAGAATTTGGAATCTAAATCCCAACCCATAATACTTAGGGTCAAATATAGGGATCGGGGTCAGATTTAAAAATTTTTAAGAATCGCAACCAAACCGGAAGTAAAAACTCAGAACCAGATATTTTTTTTTAATTCAGACGACAAAAAATGGCTGGGATCTCTATGAATGACTTTCAACTTATTTTAAAGAAAAAAAGAGGGGATAATTATCTTTAACAAAAACTTTGTTTATGAAAGAGACGGCCGAGTTGACGACTATTAATAAGATTCTAGAGCTAGAGGCTGATAATTAATTTATTAGAAGTGTACTTATATTTGAAGTCAACTGTAGACATTAGACGTTAACATTGACTTTAAAGCGTTTAGTTAATATGCCTGTAAATATATGCCAATGAAAGGTATTTCTTTTATAATGTCCTATCACATTTTGTCGAATAATATCGTCGGCAGTCAAAGGTTGATATAAATGTCACTTGAAGCAGAAACACATAATTATTTATCATAATTTATGAGATCAAAATTCTGTATTTTTTTTAACGATTAGATACGAAAATTATGAACATCAAATGCAAAGATTTGGATGGAGATTCTTGCGATTTTGGTGTTGAACCAATAGATATACCTAACAATATAATCATGATAAATACACTGAGCTCTACGGAGGCCCAGCTAATATTGAGCGGAAAATTAGATCGCGAAGTATATGATTGAATGAAATTTGAAATAAATTTAAAGTTTTTATAAATAATTCTTTAACATGTATTATATATGTTTATCTACAATGTGTTTTTTTTCTTGCAGTGTGCTTTTTTAAAAAAAATTTAAATCATTTTTTTGAGCACTTTTTTTTTTAAATTTAAAAAAATCTAATTTTACTGGAAACATATTCTAACATGTTTAGAATACCTTATGAATTGTAAGAAAATTTTGTAAAAAATGTGCTGAAAAAGAATATAAATTATATTAAGTTCAAAGGTTCATGAAATTTGAAGTTTAAAGGGTAGGTATTAAGAGCATGGTGGAATACATTTGCAGTATAAGTGGATTTTAAAATTTGATCGAAAAATGATTTAAAGTTTAATAAAAAATAACACATTGATGCTAACATTTAAAAATATACCTCAAATATTTTTTGAAACAGGTAAAATCTTCATATTCCTTCTATTTAACTGTCACGGATAATGTTCAAGATTCATCCTGCAAAGTTTTATTATATTATTTTATAAAAACATTATATTCATTATAATATTCTATATGTTCCATTACCTTTGCACTAGAAATCTGCAAAGCTCGGCCCGACCCATTAAGAAATTTACACAAGTTATCCGGTTGAAAACGTTAAACTTTTAACAGGCTCGGCACGACCCGTTAAAATTTTAGAAAGAAAATTGTTTTTATTTAAATTTTATCATACATTGGAGATTTGCGAGGTCCTGCCTATAAATTGTCCGACCCCCAGAAAATCTTTTTTGTACAAATTGATCGGTCAGACCTGTTATAATTTTTTAAGAAATTTGCCCAGTCTAACCCAGCCGCAGATCTCTGCTTCACAAGTTTACTCTATTATTAAATATTTAATTTTAGGTTAAAAATTTAGCCTATTTATACGTAGAAGATGTAAATGACGAGTACCCCAAATTCGTGGGTCTAAGAAATCCGATCGATGTTATTGAGGTAAATAAAAATAAATAATTTTTTAAAAATTAATTAATTTGTTAGCAACAAAATGATGAGATAACGAAAATAAATTTTTATTTTAAGGAAAATGAAAAAAGTGGTAAACACGTTGCTTAATAATTATTCTTCTATAGATCCGAATTAAGATTAGATTGATTCAGCATGAACGCTACTTTAGTCACCCTTTACTCATTGTCCAGGGTTACATTTATAAGCCAAATAATTTGGGTTTTAAAACATAGTATTTCTTTCTCGTATGTAGTTGTAACAGACATTGTCATTTAGGTCCGACAAGTCACCCCCCACCCACTTCCTATTTCTAATTGTATGAATTATATTGATCGATATTTTTTGTCGATTTTTTAAAAAAAAACAAAACCCCAATATAGTTTTATCAAACACAATGTTTTTTTGGTTTAAATTAAATTATTTGAAACGATTTATTTATATTTTTTCAAACATTAAAATATAATATATTCCGAATAATTAAATCAGAATTCTCCGATCGGTTCCAACATTCTTAATCTAACGGCTTCCGATGCTGATTCTTCATATTACGGGGCAATAACTTTCGAATTAAAATTCTTCGACGCGATAGACGAAGGTATATTTGGTTTGAGCGTCTTAAATATCGATGATATTTCCAAAAGCGAAAATAGCGGCTCATACGAAAAAGTGAGCCACCCTTCCGAAACGCAGATAACTTACGTCAAATTGCTGAAAGAACTCGATTACGAAAAGCAGAAAATACACAAGCTTCTACTCATAGCTAGAGTTATTTTAATTTTAAAAAAATTTTTGATTTATGAAACTTATAAAATGACTAGATATGTAAAAAAAAAACAAAAAAACAAAATTTATCATAAAAAAAACATGGAAAAAACATAAATTGTCATTTAATCAAATTTTGAAACAATCAATAAAAAAATTTCATAATAAACTTTATTCATCAAAATGAGTACCATATAAAATGATTTTCATGACAACGAAAAATTTCCATCATATTTGTTAAATTATATTTAAAAAATGATAGTGATTATTAGCGTAATAAAGCCCCAATCTAGACGCTTTTTTTAAAAATGACAAAATCAATATTTTACCAAAAAAAAATAAACAATACTAATCTAAACCTCTATATAATTCACTTATAAAGGCAGAAAGATTTCACTTTCTTTTGATTACTTTTTGAGGCTTAGATAAAAAATACTTTTTTTTTTGGCTGAAATCTTGGTATACGAGGTTTTCGTTTTCCACAATATACTAAATTGTGATATTGAATAATTTGCGATAAAATTAGATAATAGTTTCCATAAGAATTTATATATAAATTTATTAAAAAAATAAAAATAGGAATTATTTTTTTGTTTTTAAAAAATTTTGGGTTTTTCAACCCTAGAAATGGCAAAAAATAAATAAAAAATAGTGTTATTATTGATTTTAATGACAGATACTGATAATTGGCCAATTTTAAATTAAAATTTTAGCCAAAATAATATTACGCAAGCCTCCAATTCGTTTATAGATGTCTAAGCCTTTCTGCCATCTATGAGTAATATTTTTTTAACAATTGGGTTAGCTGTTTATATCGAGTTGTTTACCAATACTAATTTTACCAGATATAATTTTTAAAAAAAACATACTAAGAATAATTTGTAGATTTATTATAATTGTCACAATTGGGAGTTTTTGGATTGCGAACTTAAAAACCTAAATGTAAAATAAAAATATATACTAAATATGATTCTAAATCTTTCATAAATAAATAACTATAATCAATTACAAAGTGAAAAACATAATCAAAATAAAAGAAAAACAAAATTAATATAAAAAAATAAAAGTAAAAAATTAAAAAAAAAATTATATGTTAAAAAGTAAAAAATTAAAAAGTCTTCCAAGCGAAAAATAAAAGGTTCATCATCCCACTTGTCAAAACTATTAAAGTATGAAAAAATCTACAATTATCACGCGTTTTTTTTCTCATTCACATAGACGGGGATCTAAATAATATCTTATTAATTTTGATAAAACATTATTTTTTGTTTGAATATTATTACCATTTGAATGATGCAATTTTTTTGTAACTCAAAATGCAACAGTTATCATTTTATATCCCCATGAAAAATAAAAAACGATAGACTTACCTTGAGTCTCTTAAACTAATTAACATTTTGTAGGTTTTAATGTATTAAGATGCGAGATCACTATTAGTATTTTGTTGGACAGTTATACTACTACTTACGAAAGGCATATAAATTAATTTTAGACTAGCCTTCTTAATTTAAATATAAAATGCAATTTATATTCTCAAAAATCATAAAAAATAAAAATAAAATAAGGATGGAGGCTCTATAATACCAAAAAACGAAACGTTAGCCACGAACGTGACCTTGATAATAAACGTCAGGGATGCCCAAGATATGCCTCCAAGATTCATCAACACCCCATACATATTTTCGATACCAGAAAATTCACCTCCCGTAAATTTTAATTTTAATGAAAGAAACATCTGTTTTTAAATTTTTTCCAATGAGATATATTTATAATTAGAGTCCTAAAAGGAAGGAATATTCATATTTTATCTTTTTTAAAAATAAATAAATAATAACTCGATAGAAAACAATAGTATTTACCGCCTTTGCTCAAGATGGAGATATTGAAAACCCTAATAAAATACTTTATAGCATAACAAGTATAAAATATATTTTTTCAAAATGATTAAATTAATTTATTTGCATAACATAATTTATTCCTAATATAATATATTGATATACACTGTGTTTCTATTGAAGATACACTTATTTGTTTTAGCAATAAATCAGTATAAATTCTACTAATAATTCAATAAAATTACATGGATTTGTGAAAAGGATAAATTATAAATGTTTTCTGAAAATTTCATCAAATTCTATCAATAGGGTCCAAAGTTATGGGCATTCAAAGTTGGACAAGCTAAATTCAAACTTTCTTAACATATAAAAAAAAAAATTTTTTATATAACACTTAACAATTCAATAAAAACATGAAAACATCAACATTTTAAATTAATTTGAGTCAAATGTTGTATTAACAAATCGATTGGCTACAACTTGCTTATATCTCATTGAAACTACAACGCATACCTTATCATTTTACAGATTAACCAGTGGAATTTTGGCAAACAGCTTTTCATCCGTTAACCATATGAAATGAACTAACCTCTGAGAGTATTTTCGTGGAAGTTATTTCCTACGTACCAGAGGGTGATCGTGGGCTTGTTTTTTAAAAAAAAAAACCTTTTAGCTGCAGCTCTTTGTGGATAATCATATAAACTGCGAAATACGAATCTCTCGAGATATTTGATAATTTGGTCTTCTTGGCTCAATACTAGTGTTTCAATAGAATTAGCCTTTTCCATAGTAGAAGCTATGCGTGGTCTACCACTGCCATACCGTTTTTCTTCTGATCGGCGCAATCAATTCGAAACAGCTATAAATCAGTTTCTGTTGGGAAATTCCTTCAAAAATTATTTGGCTTAGCAATGTTTTTCTTGTCTTAAAATTTTTAAAATTAAATTAAGGTCCTCTTTATTGAAAACCTTTTTTTTAAAAATATTATCGTAGTTAATAAAAAAATAAATTTTCAAATGTGAAAAGTTCATAATTTGTTTGTCCAACTATGAATTGGAATAAGCTTAGACCCTATTGATAGAATTTGATAAAATGTGCAGAAATTTATTCCCCTCTCAATTAAAATTATATTAAATGATCTTTATACAGATTTATTGCTAAAAACAAAAAATGGTACAGTTCAATTGGAACACCGTGTATTTAGGAAATATATATCTTTTTTTTTTAGTTTTTCTTGGAATAGATGTATTATTGTTTTTAAGTATTTATTTCTCCATTATTTATTGTTTTGTCATCTTGTGCATCTCTTTAAATTGTGAAACAATCGTAATAATTTTAAATGGGAGTTATTGGTCAATGATATAGACTTTACTTCTCAGTTCTTCCCCTGCTCTTCTTACTTTTTACAATTTTTGCAAATATTTCTTTCCATATGTAAGCTAGGATCTGTTAATCAATCTATACTTTCAACGTTAATTTAAAGTTTAATTTAAAAAAAAAATTATCCTTTAGGCGACACAACAAACAAAAATATTCCATCTCTATATGATTTGCCCTTCAAGATAGATAAATATACAGGAGAAGTTAGAGTCAACGAGGACCTGGACAGGGAGCAAGCTATCGAATCGGGAGGCGCCTCTTTCTACTTCAAGATAAAAGTTAAAAAAAATGATAAATACCCTAAGGTACCATCTTCTATAAAAGGATGGATTCCAGTAAGTACTCGCATCCTTGTAAAATTCCAGATATGGTTCTTAGCAGGGATCTAGATCACTATTATAACTATATAGAATGAACTTTTAAGATTTTGAGGTTCTTGAAACATTATTTTAAAACTATAATTTTATTTTGCAAATACATAAATATCAAGGCCGAAGAAGAATCTTATCAAAAGGCCTGGGCAGAAACCTCCGTGATTATTAAGCTTGAGGATGTAAACGATTTTGCTCCCAAATTTAATCAACCTCGTTATAGCGGAAAAATCAACGAAAATTCGCTCAGACTTACATCAGTTATATTTTTCAGAGACGATAATAGCCACACCACTCCCAACAGCTTAATCAAGTCATCAAATTTCAAGGGAAAAGAATCAGTGGGTGATGTTGATAGATTATCAACACCTGTGATTGATATCATTGTTAAAGATCTTGACTTGGTTATATAAATGCGATATTAATATATTCAAGATATAAAATATAAATAATCAGATTACTTTAGTTACAATTATAAACACTGTAAGGATCTTAATTGGAAATATTTGCATTATTACCTACAGATCTCCCTCAAACTTGTATTTTTATTAGAGTAATATTCTTTCCTTCATTATTTCGTCTATAAGGCAGGGCGAGAGTTAAGTAAATTATGATATCGATTTAAAAAATATTTCCGATATGAAGCTCAGTGCATCTAAAACGAGTGAAATATCCATCTCATTATGTTCTATAAAAAAGAAAAATATAAGAATGAAATTTTTTTTTTAAAAATAGAAAACTTTACAATTAATTACTTGCTACCGCCATTATTCTATCCATGCTTCTTTATACTTTCCCTTACCATCTCCAAGTACATCCTCGTTATAAAACCCTTATCCCATTTCCTAAATTATATTCCTATATTATTCGCCTTAATAATTACATCTTAGTAGAAAATAATTATACCCTTTTTGATAACATATTATATCAGTTATCATTCAAATAAAGAAACCAAAGAAACAGTCAAAACAAAATAAATAAATTATTTATAAAAAACAATGGAGAGTATAAAATAATTGCATTTTTAAATTTAAAATGATTGGAGGAAGGATAAAATTGTTAAACTGATTTTTTTTAAAAAATTTAATAAAAAAATTTAATTGTTAATACCATCATTAATCAAGAATAAAATAATATATACATACAATTATAAATGCAAAGCAGATCAATTTTTTAAATTAAATCTCATATCTAACATAAAATTCTCAAAAGTTCCATTTTAAAATTCCAAAATGTATAGAGTACTTGATCTTGTAAATTTCAGACAATTTTGCCATGAAGTTATGCGTATATATATATATATTCTAATTTAAACCTTAAAAATTGATGAGTATTTCAAATAATTCCCCAGTGAAATTGCCTGAAACTCAGTATAACCTAAGCATGCTGGAGAATACGATTCAAGTTCCTTCGAAATTAAAAAAAACCACTATAAGTGATTTCCAAATAAAGAAAAGAACTAGATTTCGAAAAGTTTAGTATTGTTAACAATTTTAAATTATTTGGTTTAACGGATGGCTATATGAATTTTACTATCGTCTTGATAAAATTTCAACATGTTTTTTTAACCTAATATATAAATTACAGGGTGAAAATAGCGTTTTCAATTTGAGTCTAGAGGGTGAATTCGCCTCTTATTTTTCAATCGACCCAAGTATGGCTATCAAAGAAATATCTCCCGTTATAAGAATAATCAACCCATTCATTCTGGACAGGGAGAAATTGCAAAATATATCTCTGAAGGTTAACATTTCATTAATATTTATTACTGAATTTCTTTCTTTCTTTCTTTTTAAAAAATATTTTCCAGGCACCATAGCGTGTCAATGTGTTTTTTTCTTAACGTGTTACTTTTTCAACTTTAAATAATCCTTTTTTTTATACGCGTTTTTTTTTAAATTATAGAAATCTGATTTTAACCGGGAACGTAATCCATCATATAAAGAATACCTATCTTTATCAATTAGAATTATCGGCAATTTTGCCCGAGTTATTTATAATTTATATAAAAATCTATGAAAAAAAAATTAAATATAAATTATATTAAGTTCAAAAGTTCATAATAAAATTGCCTAAAATTCATAGGGTAGGTATTCCAAAAATGATGGAATACATTTCCGATAAAATTATATTTTTTTAAATTAAAAAAAAACGCGCTCAAAAAATAATTTACAGTTGAAATAATAACACATTGCCGAGAAAAACACATTGCCGCTAACATATATATGTTGTATTCCATATTAAATCAACCAAAAAAAGTCGATTCTCAACCCTTAGATTTTTTTAAAAATTTGTATGATGGTAGTATATACACGAACTAGTAAAAATATAAAATTTAAATTTTCAACTCCACTTACTTCATGAGATATGGCCATCTTTAGAAACGTGGAAATTCCAAAATACACTATATTTAATTTTAAATATCTCAAAAAGTAATTAAGCTAAAGACATGATTTAAATTTTATTAAATAGCTCTAAAATAGCTCTTTAATATGACATAAGAAATAATTTTGTGAAAAATCTATTACCAAAAACCGGAAATAGAAAACCGGAAATGGCTCTAAAATAAAAATTGCTCTTTTTTTTTCTTTTAAATTTTTTTTACATAGACATTATACTTCTTAATATTTGTACAAAATCCTAGATTGGGACGAGAATTGGGCCAATATGGCTTAAATCCTATATTATACTAAATGTATAGTAATTTAGGAAACAAATAAGAAAATTAGTTTGGGATCGGTCCGGATATATTTTTTTATAAATCTTTCTGGCCGTGTTAGAAAAATTAGGCCCTATGCAGATCACTAGTAGACATTGTGTCATGTTTAGCACATAAGTTTAGCTATTTTATTTTAGAAGGAAAATAATTGTAAAAATATTTATAACTTTATTTAGCTAATTAATGGGAAATTAATATTTTAATATACATATTAACGTTTGGCCATTAAAAATCTATTTTCAAGATTGATTTCCATTCTTAAATATTCTACGTTCCTAACAAATGTATATTTAATTCCAGGGATGTTGATTCTCGCATAATTATATAAGTCAATAGGAGTTATTATAGGATTTTCATGAGGACGTTGCAGGCTTGCTTTAGCCGCCAGCCTTTTAATAATTCTCCCTAAACTATCGCAAGGAGTTTTGCCATGTGCAGTTGCAAAAAAATGCCATTCTGCCTTGATCCCAAAATCATTGTAATGGTTGTAGAGGTTTACAAAGTTTTTTTTGTTTTTATACTGGGTGACAGCTCCATCAGAAAAATAAAATGTTATTGAAATCTTATCAAATCTTTCTTTCAAGAATAGAATTAATTTTATTTGAAATAAATGTGTTTGAGACAATCTGATATAATCATGTAACTTAAATGTTTGATGATATCGCCTTCGCGGTAATAAATCATAAATGGATGAAGTGTTGCCTATTATTAGTCCAATGGAAACCCTGAGCCTGATCTTAAACTACAAAAGCGTAGTAATCGGATATTAGATATTCCCCATCCTTCAAATTCGATTTTAATGGCTTAAAAAATGAAGATTGTTCCGAGGAATTAAAATATTTAATTTTTCAATCAAATACTCCACAAATTCGTTGGAGGACTTTGTTAAAGTTTCGAGTGTAGTACAGTCAGCTGCCAACCATTGTTTAAATGCTATATAATCTATGGCATTATTATCAAACAATAAGTGTAGTCTTTCTTTAAGTTCCAAAGTGTCGGGACACATTTGGCATTTCCTCAAGTAACAGCAAGGCTGAGGTAGATTGCATAGACTTCGTGCAATGTAATTTATATAATCTTTTAAGGGAGGAAATGGAAAGTTATGCTGGTTTGCAGTTAACTTATCTAATTCACCACCAATTATAATTAACTTAAATTTAATAGAAGGTAATGTGATAGGGATCGTTGAAGTAAAAGGTAAGATGGGATTTGTTGAATATTTTTTAAATTTTTTCCGGCAAGATCTACAAATTTTTGATTAATTGATAAGCTAGAATTCACTTGTATCATCCACTATAAAACACCTCTAAGATCGTAGCCTACTGAATGAGATTTTATTCGAAATGGGTTGCAGCACTTTACAGGAATTGTAGACATTTAAAATATAATTTTTTAAATTAATAAATAAATTTAATTTTTTAGAAAAATGGCTATGTAAAATTAATCAATAAAAATGACGACTGTTGCTGTTGGAATTAATTTTGAATATTGACTTTATGCCAAATATAATTATTTTATTTTAATTAATTATAATTAGATTAAAATAATCTTTAAAATGAAAATATATTTCTGACGATCACAATAATAATTAATTGTCTGGCAATAAAAAATAAACTTCATCATTCACTCACAGAGTTGCCAGGTCAAATCTCGAATTTAAGAAGAAATTTGGGACGAATATAATCTTAAGGTTGGGGTGAAGAGATTATTGACCTCACTTTTTATTATCATAGTTGTTACTTTATTACTTTATACAAAATCTTATTATTTATCCCTTATAATGCCTCCAAATTAAGGCGTTTTGCCTTATATTTAAAATAATACAATACAATTTGGTGAATGTTATTTTGAGTTTTTTAATATTTAAAAATGCAAAATAATAAGATTTTTTAGGATTTTAGTTTTAATGCTATTATTCACATATATTGCCCACTTTTAAAAAATTTAATTACTCTATATTTGGTATAATATAGGATTTAAGCCATACTACTAATATTTAAAGTGTAATAACTATTGACCCAGTACTCGTCCTAATCTAGAATGAATTTTGTATAGATATTAAGAAGTTTAATGTCTATCTGTAAAAAAAATTTAAAAGAAAAAAAACAAACAATTCTTATTTTATAGCCATTTCCGGTTTTCTATTTCCGGTTTTTGGTAATAGACTTTTTTTCACAAAATTATTTCTTATGTCATATTAAAGAGCTATTTTAGAGCTATTTAATAAAATTTAAATCATGTCTTTAGCTTAATTACTTTTTGAGATATTTAAAATTAAATATAGTGTATTTTGGAATTTCCGCGTTTCTAAAGATGGCCATATCTCATGAAGTAAGCGGAGTTGAGAATTAAAATTTTATATTTTTACTAGTTCGTGTATATACTACCATCATACAAATTTTTAAAAAAATCGAAGGGGGTCGGGTTGAATCTTCAGTTGATTTAATATGGAATACAACATATGTATTCCTCTGATATTTGGAATTCAAGAACCCAATAAATAAATATTTTTTTTTTGTAAAAATAAACAACTAATAAAAAATTAATTAATTTAGATAGTGGCTATGGAAATATATACGGCGGAAAAATATGTCAGCAGCGCCGATATTTTTATAACCATAGAAGACACAAACGATGAAGCACCTTATTTTGTATTCGATAATACCATTAGCCTTCAGCTTTACATCGTTAATGTTTCGGAAGGAGCTCACGTTGGAGATAAATTATTAAAGATTCGAGTTTTAATTTCCCCTTTTTTATATATATATTATACTTTGCTGGTCGATAAACTCATTTTTGAATTCTTCGGTTGTAAGGTTAGTAAGTTTAGTAACTGGTAAAGGTGGGAGATGGGGTTTAATAAGCCCTCTATCTTGAAACTATTTTAAGTTAATCGTAACACATATCATTAGGAATTTATATTTATTTTTGAATACTAGTTCGGCCTAAAATTTTTAATTAAAAAAATTAAACCTTTCTTTTAAAAAAAAATCATTAATCGCCTTTTATATCACGAAGATATTTTAACCATCATAATACATCATTTTCTATATTATTTTTTTAATCTTTCAAGCCTCCTGGTTAAAAATATTTTCAAAAGATTTTAAGGCGGACTGAAGCGAGTTATTTTAAAAATTTGATCTCGAACTTCACGTTAACTCGCATGTTTCTAATTACAAATTACTTTCCTAAAATTAATGCTCAGATAAGATAACTCAATTCCTCAAGCGATCAAATATGTATTAAAAAAACATTAGTTTTCGAAGAATATAATTATATTGATTTTGTTCTAAAATTACTTTTCTTATTTAATAGGCTAAAGATAATGATATAAGCGAAATTTTTTCAACCGTATTATTCAAAGCCCTTTACGGCAAAGGGAGCGAGAAGTATATTTTATATGCCGATATATTTTTTATATTTCACAAAAAATATATAATTTTTTTATACTTAGTTTTAGTTGTAGAGATTAAAAGAATATTATGATTTATGCTTCCTTTTTTTTTCACCGACACACCAGCATCACTAACTTACATTCTTTCCTTTTCCCTATAAATAATCCAATTTATATGATTTGGCTAATAAAAATTCGAAGATTACATATTTTGAAAGAATATAAGAAAAAATTCTTTTAAAAAAAAAATAATGCAGCTTTTATCTTCACCCAGTATCCGGATGGTTGAGTCTTGCTAAACCCTTAGACCGGGAACTTAGGGGCTATTATTCCCTAAATGTAGAAATCAACGACCAGGGCTACCAATTTTCTCACTCCAATGCCAGTAATGCTAACGACAGTGGAAGCATGCCAAAAGACTTTATACCTAACCGAGCTACTGCCGAATTGGAAATACATATCGTTGATGTTAACGATAATGCACCTATATTCAATCAAATAGAATATGAAGGGTTCCTTCTCGAGGGACAACCCCATTTTCGACAACATCTACAAATCAAGGTTTATAAAATATAATAACTATAATATAATTTTGTTTACTTTTGGTCATATATTTATTTTCATAAAAAATTTCTCAATAAATCAGTATTTAAGCGGTTGGCTATTTTAGTAAAAGGAAAGGGGGGTGGGAAGGATAAATGTTGAATTATAATATTTCCTCCGTTATTTTATGCAACATTCCCAATGTTCATTGCAGAACAATGCAAACGATCACCCAATCTACCCAACGTAGATTAATTGGGGTCGGGCGCACTTTTAAAATTAGACCGATTTGGATATTGATCTTAAAATTTATTTTGGCGGATTTGGGTCTCAGCAAAAATTTATAAAAAAAAGTAGTTTTCAAGAATGATGCCAAATTTTTTATTATCCAATCAGCGCTCAGAATTTTTCCGCTTTCGCTGAGTTATTTAAACTTTTTTTAAGACACAGAATATTTTTATTAGGTCGGATTTGAAAAAAATATACTCCGATTTTAATTTATATTATGTGAATCGATAAATTTTAGTTTCTTTGAAATAATAAAGTGAAAATTTTTCTTAGAAGTTAACTCAGGTCGTATAACTTCAGATTGGAAAGAGCTCAGAAAAGCAGAATTTAATGTTTTAAATTATTTTATTTTTTTTAAAAAAAAAATACAATCGCAGGCATAAATTTTAGTTTCTTTGAAATAATTAAGTGAAAATTTTTCTTAGAAGTTTGCTCAGGTCGTATAACTTCAGATTGGAAAGAGCTCAGAAAAGCAGAATTTAATGTTTTAAATTATTTTATTTTTTTTAAAAAAAAAAATACAATCGCAGGCATAAATTTTAGTTTCTTTGAAATAATTAAGTGAAAATTTTTCTTAGAAGTTAGCTCAGGTCGTATAACTTCAGATTGGAAAGAGCTCAGAAAAGCAGAATTTAATGTTTTAAATTATTTTATTTTTTTTAAAAAAAAAATACAATCGCAGGCATAAATTTTAGTTTCTTTGAAATAATTAAGTGAAAATTTTTCTTAGAAGTTTGCTCAGGTCGTATAACTTCAGATTGGAAAGAGCTCAGAAAAGCAGAATTTAATGTTTTAAATTATTTTATTTTTTTAAAAAAAATAAATACAATCGCAGGCAATCGATATGGACGAAAGTAATTCGTTAAACAGCTTAGTTAGATATCGTTTCGTTGTCCATACTGCCCAGGATAGAATGTTAACCAATTACTTTTCATTAGATGAGAATTCTGGAATTTTGAGCCCCAATTTATTGGTGTCAACTATGGATTACGAAAAAGTGTATAGATTCCTAGAAAACGATACCCTGACCCTTAAAGTCGAGGCTTATGATGCGGGTTTACCTAGTCTCAGCGCTTTCTGTAAAATTAGTATACGGATAGAGGTTCATATTTAAATGATTTTAAAAAAAGATACAAATATTCTTGACTTACAAATAATTATAAAAATATTTAATGGGGGAAATTCTAGGACAGGGTGATAAAATAATCTGCTGTTTTAGTACAATCCTGTATAGTTTCATCATTGTTGAACTTCTTTAAAATAATTGATAATATGGGCAAATAAATGTATTTTCATATATTTTATAGCATACCTAAAAAGTCTAATTGATAATTGAATGTTTTACACAGGCATAGGATTGGTTAAAAAAAATTATTATCAATTGATAAAAATTTAGGACGCTAACGACAATCAACCGATATTCGTTAAAAATCATTACACCGCGGAGATACCGGAAACGATTGAATCTGGTTTATAATATTTATTTTAATTTTAATTATATAATGAATTATCAGCCAATAGAATTAATACACCTTTTAGTTGGAATTTTTTAGTTAAATCCCAAAATTTTAGATAATTTTTGTTAACTTTAACAGGATAAAAAATGGAGTCGCATCCTAATAATAGTGTTGTTAAACAGTTTAATGCCAATTTTTAAAAACGTCAACTCGATATTTAAGCCAGAAAAATATTGTTTATACCTCGAGATTTCGCTGTGCCATTTATATGTAAAATCATCTGGCTTGTGTAATATTTTTCTTGGTAAAATATTAAGTTAGGTTTTTAAAAATCGGCTCAAATTGAGCCGTCTAACAATATAACCTAATAATACACGATAGTATAAATTATTATATATATATACATATATAAAACTCCTATTTGGGAAATTTATAGACAAGATAATATTAAATATTACGGCGACGGATGGAGACGTTTATTCTCGGTATAACAGCTTAGTCAATTACTTCATTTACAATCAAACTCAACAAAAATTTTGGCTCAACCCTGAGACTGGTGCTTTATCCCTGTACCCAGGATCTTCTTTAGATTTAGATTCAGGCTCTGCAAGTTCAGATGCGAATCCAAATCATTATACATTGCAAGTTTTTGCTAAAGATAGAGGTATACCTCCAATGTCCTCCAAATTAGTCTCTATAAACATTAAGGTACTTCATTCTAACATAAAATATTTTGCTATTTAGAGTTTTGGAGTTTTGATAAAGTTTACAGGAAATGAATAGAGGTTTAAAAAAAAATATTATATCATTCGTTATTTCTAAATAGCTCAAAACAGCTGTGAATTCAGAATATTTTAGGCTTAACAAATGTTTATTGGCCGGTAAAATCATGGTTATTTGAGCCAAGTCATATATTTGATAAATTTCTTTTCTTTCATCTATAAGCTATTTAATATCTTGTGAAATTTTAAGATAATTGATGTAAACGATGAAAAACCAGTGTTTCAAAATAAAGTATACAAGGCTTATATACTCGAGAATTCTCCACCTGGTACTCATTTAGACATTTTGACTAATAACGTTAATAGCATTAAACGTAAGAGCTATCATCACGATTCTCTGGCTCCTCTTACAGGGATTTACAACGTCTATGAGGATAAAGATGAAGTGGAAATATTTGACAAAGCGGTTCTAGCCATAGATCCAGACCGATACTCTATTGTAAAATACGACTTCGTAGAATATTTGGAAGCACTTGATCCCAATAGGGATCCTTTGCCACTGCCTTCGTAATTTTTGCTAAAACTTCTTATTAATATAAATGTTTATCTTTATCCCTTACAGTCAAACCTTACAAACAATAAAAGGTCTCTTTTATTAGGCTAAATTAAGTTTGGTAAAATAAAATTTTGTCTTAAATAATAATATGAAGTAAGATTTGAATGTTATTAAAATTATATTATAGCTAATGGAAAAAAAAAATTTACTATCTCATATTAAACATTTTATTTATATTATATATATTTTTTTAAAAATTTGTAAGTTCTACGAATCTAGAGGCTAGTAACGAATTAATAGACTATACCAAAATATTTGCTATCGATTCTGACACGGGTATTATATACGTAGCTAACAATTTAGGGTTGGATCGAGAAAAATTAGAAACTCTTAAAATCAAGGTAAGAGCAAGAGATGTCAATTCTTCATCAGATGACGATTTTTCAAATATTCAAGCCGATTATGGTTTAAAAAAGAAATAATATTTTATTTCAGCCATTTTCATATTTCTCAATATTAAAATATCATTACATTGTTAAATGGGCATATTTAATCAAGATTTTGGTTAAAAATAATATTATACCTAAGAACCTTAAGATATCGTCAATAGGTGTCCAAAACTTTTTGACATATATGAGCAAACGTTCCAGGTTTTTTTGGTTAAAATGTTGAGTTGACCGTTTTTAAAAAATCGGCTAAATCGAGCTGTTTAACGAGACGAGAAAAAAAAACTGGAAGAAAAGAATTTTCGCATAATTAAGCGTTAAAAAGATTAATTGTTAATATTTTTTCTTTTTAAACATGACTAAAGATTCTTTATATTTTTATCTTTATTCCCTTGGATCAAGATTCCGGGATTTGTTATCTTTTCACCTGATGTCCAAAATTAGAATAAGAAGAAATAATTATATAAATACTAGATCCATCGAATAACATATTTTAATATAATTTTTCTATAAATTTGAATATTTTATGATAAAATAATTATAGTTACTCTTTCATGATTTGTAAAATAGTCAGAATTTTTATAGTTAAAAAAAAACTTTAAATGTCCAGAAAAGTAGTTAAAAAAAGTTACACGAGGAAATAGTTCGACCGAGTTTTCTAATTTGGATATATACTAATATAATTCAATTTTTAAAGTCCAGATTTAAACCCCTTTATTTTTGTAAAAAGTGTTATAAAATTAGGTAAAAAAGAATAATAAATAATGATAGTGAGCTCATAGAAAAGAAATATTAAATACTTTATATGTTATAGATATATAGTTTCCTATTTTACCAATTCTATTTTTCTATGATAGATATACTAAAAAAAAAATTTGAATATAAATTATAAAATTAATTCAAGCTACTTTAATAATTCACGTATTGGATGTCAATGATAATTCCCCTAAATGGATTCCTTCCAACAAATATTACAAAACTATGTACGAGACATCGGCCTCGGCACCTAACGAATTCAATTATATAGGGAATGATAAAAATGATGAAAATTATCAAGCTGACCAAAATAATAACCTAACTCAAGATATGGAAGAAGTGTTAAATCTCGAAGCCGTAGACATTGACTCAAATAATACAATCAAATATGCTTTCCTTCAGCCACACCCTAAAAATTTAGCGATTGATTCTGATACAGGTTTTAGTGATATAGTGTAACCTTACGGGATAAAAGAATGATAAACATAGGATGGAAAATCCTATGAGGTTGGGAAATAGGGATTTCAGGATTTCTATCTGCAATATTTGTCGAGGGAGTAAACTATTGCTAAGAATGAGAATTTGAGTCTTTTAACAATTAAAATATAAAACAAACATACAGGTAACTAGAGCGATTATTTAGTTTCAAAATTTATTTTTAGGATGTTTCTATGCGTATTTTTATTAATAGGTATGATATATCGGAAGGAATTGATTGATTACGAAGTGACACCTTGGTTAAATTTTACAGTATCTGCTGAGGACAATGGGTACCCAACTAGGATAAGCTACGCAAAAGTCACAATTAAGGTGTTGGACAGAAATGACAATAGTCCAAAGTTAGTTATTATCTAAACATATTGATAATATATTGTTTTGATATTGGCTTAAGGAAATATTTATAACACGATATGAATTATTAGATTAGATGTTACGAATAATTAATTATTAGAAGAACATTGAAGTTAAACAATATAAAATGAATGCTAAATTTTTCCTTATAGCTAATAATAATAAAAATGATACAATTTATATACTTATCAGTACTATAATATATAAGATGTTGAATATAATAAACTTGCTTATTTTATATAATTGCAAAGGTTTTCTTACCTGCCTCCTAATCCTTTCCATCTAAGAGAAAATGTTCCCTTAAATACTATTGTGTTTACTATAAAAGCAACTGATGAAGATAGAGGCAAGTTTGGGACGATAAATTATTTTATAAAAGATGGCGCTAATGGGAAATTTAGGATAGATCACGAAACTGTAAAATTCATGAACATCAGCTTTATTCATATAAATTTTAACTATAACTTCATAAAATTGAATAAATTTAAATTATAATTGTGATTGATGTAATTTTTTTTTAAAGAATACATTTTTTTGGGGGGTTATAATCTAAATTTTGATGATTTATATCCTTTTAACGTTTTCCCGTTTCTACTAACCTATAATGTTAAATAAGTATGTTCTCTCTTTTTAATATTTGAAAATAATGATTAGCTTAAAAAATTTGACCTTATTTATAATAATATCTTAAAATATGCACATAAACATTTCCTCTGGTAGAGTGACAGAAAAGAATTGTTTGATTTCTTTAAAAATTTTCTTTATACTTTATTTTACATAGGGAGATGTTAAGGTCATTGATAATATAGACCGAGAAGAAATCGGGATTTATAGATTATTAATAGTGGCTAGAGATAATTGGAACAATGGAATGGATGATGATTCCAAGGAAAACACTACAATAGTAAATATTATGTTTACAGAAAATTAAATATAAATTAAATGCGGGCACACTATTATATCTTATTTTATTTAATAAAATATACCAAACAATTTAAAAACAATTTTAAATAATTCTTTGTGACCATATTTTATTTCATAATATCTCAATAAAAATACTCGATGGAACTGAAATCAATATCTTCCAGTCCGATGTCATTTCTTCAAATGTTTTTGTTTCTTTTTCAGTTTCATTTTTTAGTATGAACATGGCTAATTTTAATAAAATAGAATGAAATAAGGAATTTTTTTAAAATTTCTTTAACTCGATTCACAAAATTAATATTTAAATATATAAATTGCCGATTTAAAAGTATAGTTTATTTTTAAAATAATTAAAGTTTTATATTGTTATTTATCTGAAATCTTAATAAATACACGATATATTTTTTTTTAAATTATACAAAATACAAATACTTAAATAACTCTTTAAATTTTTCAAATAAATACTAAATATAAAAAAATATTTGTATATTTTATAAAAATACGATCAGTATTGGCGATACTCCCCTGGCTACACCTATAATTTATACTCTTTAGATAGAGATCATCATCGACGATCAAAATGACAATTCTCCTAGGTTCGTGACTCCTTTATTAAGCTCAATCCATACCATACGAGTGAAAGAAACAACGGCGTTCGGCGAAATGTTATTCCGAGTCTCAGCCACGGATGATGATATGCCAGAAACGCTCAATAGCAAAATCAAATATTCTATAGTTCCCAACTATGGCAATGGAACTGGTTTCCTATTTTAATCTTCTTTAAAATTTTTTAGTATATTTTACATATAGTATACTGTGAAATTTGCACTGATTATTTCATTTTTTTTTTTACTTTTACGTGATTTATTTAATTTAATACATTAATTTAATTTTATAAAAGAAAATTAGATTAAAAAATTTTTGTGCTAAATTTCCTTTTGCCTATTTTTTTTTATTGGAACAGTTGAAAGGCACCTTATTTTAAACAAAATCAAAAAAAAAATCTAAGCACTTAAAAGATTAATAAATAATTTCGTAGATAATTTGAATGGAAAAATGAGTCCCCCCGATTCAAAATTAATTTTAAAAATCAAGGTTTGAATTCGATGGAGTGGTCGGATGAGACTGGGATTGGAAGGCCCTAATACAGTTATTCACAATATGAGTTTTAGTTTTAGAAAATTTTTACTGTGAACCTTAGAACTACACTTAATTTTTTTTAATTGATCTTTATATAAATATTATTCGTATATATATAAAATGCACAAAATTTATACCTGGGATTTGTCAGATATTCAAAGGGTAGGTGCGATATACACATGTTGAAATCCATTTCTGATCAAATAAAAAAATTCAAATTTTGAAAATATTCACTTTTGATTCTATATCTCAATACGAATTTATATACTATATATTCTCTTAAAATGTGTTATTTATATTTTAAAGGAGTGTTGAAAAATATAAAATGAAAACTACCTTTACAAAATTTGAGAATTTTATATATAAGTTATTAATTAGCTCAAATATGATTAAGGCTCATATATAAAAAAATAACAAATTTTGATAGATCTCTTGTCAATTGATGCCGATACCGGTGAGATAAGGGCAGCCAAAGATTTCTCTGGAGTTTTAACCAATGACAACAATTTATTTACTGTGGGAGTGAGAGCTTTTGATTCAGGGCTTCCCAAGCCCCTAGCTTCTGAAATATTGGATATCAAGCTAAATATTGAAGATGTAAATGACCACGCCCCCATCATAACCTACCCCAAATTTAATAAAGAAGGAGGTAGACCCTCAAAGGATACTATGAAAATTAATAACGAAATCTACATATATTATCAAGTTGAGTCACGAAATAGGAAACTAAATTATTTTGGTTTTTTTATAGGCGAAATATTTTAACAAATAAATGAGTAAATGTCTTGTGGTGCCATTTTGTTAAAATAAATATTCTGGAAAATCTTTAAAAAAATATTTGCCCTGTCCGGGAAAATTTTTTTTTAGCGGGTCAAGAATGGGTGATATATAAATTTTAATGAAGGTGACAGGCTCGTGCAGATTTCTAATCTTTTTTTTTCTACGATATTATACAAATTAACCCCATCTGTATAATATATTAAATGGCAAAGTGCGTAATCATGTATTAAGACAACATAGATATTACACTGAAATTTGTAGAATATGTATTTTACACATACTGGGTTACAGTTAGGGTTAAAACATATTTTGCTCAACAAATGTCCAACTTTAAGTTTTAGTTAAAGTATTTCAGCATTTGTTATTTACCCCTATAAATTTCAGATAATTTTATAAGATGTTGCACATTTCCAGATTATGCATGTTGATGTTAACTTATAATCTCTAAATATTTTTCATTGTTTGCAATATGGAACTAACTTATTTCTTTTCTCCTTTAAAGAATATATCTTCGTTGCTAAATCGTTTCGTATTGCAAGTTCAAGCATATGACGATGATACTGGATCCAACGGACGCATACTTTTCAAGCTAAGTGAAAATTTTATGGATAAAAACTATTTTAGCTTGGATGCTAGGAGCGGTAATCTTAGCTTAGACCCTATAAACATTTTAAAAGAGAATTCCAATAAATATCCGAAAATCAAAAACAAATTTCAAGTGTGTTATAATATTCAATTAATTTAATTAAATCTATTGTATAAAAAATAATACACAAAGTTTAATTTATACATTAATAAATTATAAAAATATTTGCCAAAAAAAATATTTAAAAATAAGTGAAAAAAAATCATGCTATATAGACATACTTTCACATAAATTTCCATTTTATATATATTACAATTTTGTTGTAACATGCATATAGATTCTCATAGAAGCAATAGATGAGGGATCACCACCTTTGAGTTCAAACGTACCTCTTACAGTATACTTGATAAACAACAACGATAAACCTTTCTTCACTTTAGACAAAGTTACTATCGATAATAAAAATTAAATAATTCAAACCATAGGCGTAGCCAGGATTTTCCTAAGGGGAGGGGGAATTAAAAAATTAATGGGGACTTTGCTCCCAGATCCCATTTTGGGCGGGCCTTTGACCCGCTTTTGCCCGGCCTTAGGCCGGGTTACCTTAGTCTATATTTTTTTTTCTTTTTAGCTTTTTTCTGGTGGTAAGCTCCTTCAATATTTCTCTCCACTTTATTTTATTCATACAATCTCTTTTATCTAATTTATACTTCTTTATATTGGCTATAACTCTATGTATGGTCCCATTGAAGTTTTGCCCATCACTTCCAAACTCTCAACTTTATTTCCTTGTAGTTCATAGGCCTTCTCATTGTGTGCCCATACCACCTAAGTCTGTTTACCATTAACTTAGTCTTAATGGGCACTACCTTTAAACTACTTAGTATTCTTGTACTGCGCACTTTATACTTTCTTGTTACCCCAGCAATCATCCTCAGCTTTCTCATCTCCATAGTTTGTAGATAGGAGGTTAATTTTAATAAAAAAAATAAGCCTTGAACAAATATGAAATATATTTTTATTAGTTTATATAAAATATAATAAATAACTTGTATATACATTAATATAAAAGCACGGTAATAATTTATTCCAAACAAGTATAAGAAATTTATTTATAAAAAGTAAGTAGACATATAGTTGTGATTCCTCTATTATATAGAATTAGTTACATACTAGGTAAAATTCCACTTTTACAGACATATTTGACAGTTAGAGAATATATCACAGTTAATATTTTAACAAATTTTTACTAATCAATGCTCTTGATAATAAATATAGCAACAATTTGCATTCAATTATTTAACGCCATCTATTTATTTTAAATATAAAATGATATTAAAATTAATCTTCATATTATTCATCCCACAATGTCTTTAAAAGATATTTTCTGATGTCCTTATCAATTATTTATAGTTTTCTATAAAATATATAATTCGCTATATTGGTAAAAATTACTTGATTGTCATATAATAATTGATAAAATTAGGTATATACTGTAAATCTACGACATATAATATTTCACTGTTTGTATTGTGCTTTAATTTTTTAATTTAATTTATGATTTAATTTTATCAATAGTTTTATAATTATATTTTACTTTTAATAAGATAAATAAATTAAAATTACTCACTTTATAAAAAATTATATTTCATATATTATATTATTTAGTAATTTTATGGATCTATTATTAATAATTATAATACATTTCACTTTTGTCTTAAGACTTATCTTTGGCTTATATTCCATTTCTTAAAAAACATTTTTGGTTCACTTCTTTTTATATACAAATGCTTTTTTCCAAAAATGTATAAATTATGATAAATAGTTTTATAAAAAAATATCAACTTTTACATTCTTTCTTTCAAATTATTGTTTAAGATATATGCAAACATTTTTGGGGGTCAGGGAGTGGGGGAGGACTAAGGGGGATATTTTTTATTAGCTTAAAATGATATTCATAAAAAGTAATAAATTTCTAAAGGGGAGGGGGGAATTTCCCCTTGCCCCCCCCCACCCGGCTACGCCTATGATTCTAAGCTATCTAAAAATTTTATATCTTGAAAAACTAAATAAATATTTGCCTTCTTCCTTTCCACTTTAGTTCTTTTGGTATGAAAATAATAATAATAAATTTGATATTTTTTAATGCTTTTCTTTAAAAAAAATGAATTATAATAATTTTGATATTAATTTGATTCACAGATAGTCTTTTTATGACCAGTTTGTAAATAACAGCGGCCTATAAAGAATTGACTTGAATTTTTAAAATTTATGATTGTAATTTTGCTCTCGGGAAATGTTTTATTAGTTTATTTCTTTTTTTCCTTTAGAAAATATATCGAATATTAGATATCTATGAAAACAACACTTTGGGACAATTGGCCACAATTCCAAGAGCCATCATTAATTACAACCATAATGATGAAGAAGAAGATTTAACCAATAATATTTGCTACCATATTATAGGTTAATTTTTTATATATAAAATTTAAATATATATATATATATAACTATTATACTTTCTCACATTTTTATTGTAAGAAATAGATCTTACCCCTTTTATAAGGGAAGATATTAATAAATTATAAAAATAAACCGAGAAATAGATAAATTATTTTAGTATTTTTTCTATTTTATGAATCTTTTCAAATTTAAGAAAAATAATCCTAAATGGCAGGGTTCATTTTAAAAAAAAATTTGTATTTGAAATATATAGGCCGTGTCCTAGTTTAACTTAATTTGAATGCTTATTTGCTATTTAGTATAGTCAGTGTTTTTTGGAGTAGGACACCCTATTTTAGTTTGCATTAAGATTTGGTGGCATTGTTATTTTTCCTATTTTATTCTAGTTTTTTTGGTTATGTGTTTTTTTGCTATTAAATTACTGTCTAAATAGTCGGCGCTTAAATAATAAATTGACCGTAGAATACCACCAAGTTGAATAAGACGAACGAAATAAATCCACAAAAGGAAATGAATGATTAATTAATTAAAAAATTTATTTTTCTAATGTGGTATACCTATTTAAGATTAACAACCAAACTTATCCAAAAACGAGGCATAAATGTGAAGCGCAAATGTGTCTTATGCCATTCAAAAATTCTTAACACAATATAATGTGATTGACTACTATTCATTATCAATATAAATTAATGTATAATTAAAAAAATAAATATTTAAATTAAATTTATCTCGAAATATAAATATAGGTGGTAATGTTGGTGAAATTTTTTACTTGAATCCGTACACTAGAATTTTGTATTTAAACAAATCTTTGGATCGTGAAAGAAAGGATAGCTATACCTTAATGGTAGAAGCTACTAATGAATGCATAAAGACCATATCTAACACACAGTCATTCATGAACGAGGATTCAACTTTAAGGGTTTAAATTTTTATTGATATTTTATATATTATAATTAGCGTGAAAAATATGTTTTATAAAAATATAGTAATAAGTCCAAAAAGACAGGTTATATTTTCAATGTCATTTAATTTTTAATTACAAGATTGTAATGTATTAAGAAAATGTCTTAGTTGTTAGACCTCAGAATGTTATTAAAGACATAGGTAGATTTACAAATTATTTATTTTATTATTGAAATAGAATAGAATATATTTTGCGAAATGAATGATTACATTCTTAAGCTTAAAATCCTTATATTTCAAAGCCTTGAAATATATTTATCAAAAAAAAACGGTTTCGAGCATAGAATATAAATTATTAATCGTCAGCTGTTCTAAAATTATAGCAATTACTCAGCAACAAAGAGATACAGTTTCACTGGCTACCAAAAAAGAAATGAGAGTTCATTTTTTTTAAATAAATAGTTGATTGTTATATAACAGTAAAATTCGTAAAAAGGTGGTGATTGACGTATTAGATATCAATGACAATTACCCTGTCTTTTCTCGAAAAAGATATCGTACGGGCATCACAACAGATGCTAAAGTCGGAACTAGTCTTCATTTACCTTTCGATGTGAGTTCAAAAAATATAGTTAAAAAAAATTATTCAAATTTAGAACCATTTGTAAATCGTCGAAATAAGATTCCACAAAACTTGTTTAATTTAGGCTCTTAATAATACGGGAAACTGGTCCTAATTTAGCCAAAAATTTGAATCCCAATTAAATTTATATTTATTACTATGTATTAGAAAATGCCTCAAATAAATTGGGCATTCGTCTAAGGTTACCAAAAATCTTGGTCCCCACAATGCCCAAATTAGACAGGTTTTGCAATATTCAAAGTTAAAGTACTAATCAATAAAATAAAGTTGTTAGATTACCGTAATTTTTTTTAAAAAAATAAATTTATAAAATTAAATTTGAAATAAATTTTAGCGAAATATCTTTTTTCGATAAAATAAATATATTTAATATATAAAATATTTAAGAATTAATTAAACTAAAACTATCAATATCATAGCCGCTTTTAATTTCTATTTTTTTGAAAAACCCATTTAATAGATTTTAAGCAAAGATACACCTCCAAACTCCATCAATATTTTTAAGCTATTAAACGTCACCCAACACTTCGTCACAGATGACAGGCTTACTATAGAACCCATTCTAAGTCTAAGTAATACCTCATTTAACCAAGATGCTTCAAAATTCTTCGAGCTAGAGCCGGAAACCGGTAGAATTAAGACAGCTGTTTCATTGGAGAATATGGCAAAAACTCGTGATTCATCGAAAGGAACCGTAAATTTTGAAATAGAGATCGAAGTGTGTGACATAGAAGATCTGGAAATGAGCAAATGTGACAAGGCCCTTGTGACGGTAATTTAGAAAAAAACATTCTTTTAAATTTTGATAATAAATTAAAATATAAAGTTATAAATTTACTAATTTTATATATTCCTTCATTTTTTTTAAATAAATTATAATATCCACGTTTAAAGTACTGTATTAAAAATAATATTCATTTATAATTATTTTATATTATTCTATTTTTTTTAAAAAAAAATTTTTTTTGAATAGGTTTATTTATTATGTCCCGAAGAACAAATTCGTTTTGTACTAATGATGCCAATCATTATGTTTAAAGTCAAGCAAGTGCAATTCGTAAAGTATATATAATTCTTTTTTATCAAGTATTATGTATATATCACTTTACAAAACATAAAGTAGCTTTCTAAAACTCTGAGACCTACAAAAACCAGAAAAATAAAATTTCTGCCTCATTTATAACGTATATTTAATTTTGGCATTCATCTTAATTCTCAGTTTTTAAATATTAATAAATCTCATTGTAATTTTGAAATAATACCGTTCCAATAATCCCTCAACAATATAATATTCTTCAATACAATTTATTTGATTAGTTATGGTAAAAAACTATTAATCCTATACCAAATGACTTATAAAATTTATTTGTTTTCTACCTCACCAGGAATCGTTATATTAATGGGTAAATGGGTAGGGGATTTGCTTCCATATAACTCAAAAGGGGTGTCATTACTAAGACTAGGAGGGAATACTGGGTTGGGGATAAAGGGTAGCCCCGGAAGTTTATTCTCTCTTATGTAGGCTCTACATAGATAAAACAAAAACTAAGCATATTAGCTCTCCCTGTTTTCAAACCCAATTCATTGAACTGAATCATATCCTAAGCTAGTGTTATTAAACGACCCTATTTCTAAAAATGACTCGATTAAAATTTTAGCCAAAATAATATAATGTATTCCTGCAGATTTGGCATATAGAGGTTAAAATTCTTCTACCTACGAACAAAATATCCAGGCCTACGTAATATTATTTTGGAAATGGACCGTTTTTAAAAATCGACTTAAATAGGGCCGTTTAACAAGACTATCCATAGCAATCCACGAATAATTTTTTAAAAATATCTTAATAAAAAAAATCTTTTTAAATATAAATATTAGTACATTAGAAAACATAACCGGGTTTCAATACAATATAGACGAGATAACTATTCATTCGATAAAAGAGAGGCAGATGGAAGATATGTAAATAACGTTATCTTAAATTCAATTTATAAATTTAAAAATGTGTGTTCAAATACCATAATGATAAATTAATATTATATATAGCAGAGACCTGCAGAGGTACCATTTGCACGGCCCGGCCAGGCCCGGATTTAAAGATTTAAGGCCCGGCCCGGATAAATTTTTAAAAAATTTTTTACGGCCCGGCCCAGATTTAAAAATTTCAGGCCTCGGAATTTTTTAGAATTATATTCGACCTGGTATATACAAAAATTCACCTATGAGGTATTTTACCATATTTTTCAGCGAGTATTATCGCTTATTATTTAAAAAATACATGAAAAAAGCTAATATTTTGAGAATATTATATTGAATTTATAAAAATTATAAAACTGTTATTTATAAAAATGGATATTTTGAGCATATACTATATTTTTTGCATTTATAAAAATAAAACTATAATATTCATAAAAATGGTAATAATATTTTGAGCATATACTATATTTTATATTGCATTTAAAAAAAATAAAACTAATATTTAATTTATAAAAATGGAAAATATTTTGAGAATATAATATATTGTATTTAATTTACTATTTAATTTATAAAATAAAAATAAATCGCTATTTAAAAAAAATGCATGTATAATAAATAGTATTTTGAAAATATAATCTAATTGCACAATATTAATATAATTTATTTTATAATTTTTAAATATTTTATATTACATTTATAGGTTGGTTTTTCAGGTGTAAAAAAAAATTATTAATTTTCATGGATTTACCATCACATTTATGTCTTTTTAGATGTGATGTACCATGTTTATAACTATAAGATAATATACTTGAACAATTCATGCATTGTACGTAGCCAATTTTTTTTTTATTTTCATCTATGATGATGTTAAATTTAGCCCAGATTTCAGATTTTAAATTATTATTTGTATTTCTAAAAGAATAAATATTATTTTTAATTTTATTAATTATATCATTAGTATTTTGTGCCATGATATTCCTTTATTTGATTGTTTTGGTAAATATTCTAAAAATTTAGATATGAATTATAAAAAATATATTATTAATACTTGAATATTGGCGCTTATTTAAGATTCCTTTATTTGATTGTTTTGGTAAAATATGTTGTAAAAATTTAGATATGAATTATAAAAAAATATATTAATACTTTGAATAAATTTGCAGGAAATTAATAATTAGATCGATCTGTGGGTGTTAGGTGTGTTAACCATCACCCAATATTATATTAATCATAACTATAATATAATATAATCTTATAACCATTAACTCATAATGTAAAAAATTTTATAAAAAATATTAAGGCCCGGCCCGGATATATTTAAAAAAAATTTTTTTAGGCCCGGCCCGGGTATATTTAAAAAATTTAAAATAAGGCCGGGCCGGGCTTAGGGCCGGGCCTGCAGGTTTCTGATATATAGTATAGTAGCATACGTTTTTATTGATTTCTCTTTTAATAATGTTTTCGTAATATGAATTAGGACTGATATAGTGGGTCATTTTATAGATTCAAAGAGTTCGATCATTGACTTCAACGACATTATCAAGTATTAGATATAGTATATTTAATAATAATAAATATATTAACTAATTTATATATAATTCCTAAATTTATATATAAATTAAAACTGTAGTGGAAATTATCATTCTTGCCGTTTGATAGAAATGTAGTTGAGTTTTGAATTTATTTAAAAAAAATTGTTGCCTATAATTAAGAGGAGAGTTTTTTTTTTATATACATCTCAATTAATTATATTTTAGAAATTATATAAAAAAATGATTATTATTAAATAAAAGAGTGAGATTTGTGTTATATTGAATAATAAATGAGTAAATGAGTAGATTAAACAGTAATTTTTAATTGTAATCTATGAATATAAATTAGAATATTTGATGCCAATCGCAAAAATTTTGCCGAGCTGAAAATGGAATATGATATTGAGAAAATAATCGTAAATTTTTTTTTATTATAAATATGTGCTATTTTGCTGAAACGAAATTAATATCAGATACATTCATAAGTAAAGTTTAATATTAAATTTTCAATCGAGCAAAAAAAAAATCCTACATAATAGGGATTGAACTAAAGATCTAATGCGAGAATGTAACGTTAAAAATATACCAGAGTGTTTTAACTTTTGAAAAATTAATTTAATAAAATATATTATATCATCTATTACTTAAGATAAAATATTAAATTATTCGGAATTAATACAGCTAACAATAAATTTTTTGATGTATAGGAGAGCGAAATATCTTAATTTTTAGAATCTATTTTGAAACACTCGATTTTGCCTCGCCATATTTTTTTAACATTAATCGTTTTTGAATGCTAGAAGGCTCTGGTATAGTGCATCATCTGTCAGAAATTGTAGCTAACGAACTTTATTATCTATTACTTGCATATTATACTATGATAATTTTCAGAATATAGGGTTAAACTTGTCTAATTTTGACACTATAAATTTGGGTATTATTTCTAGTCCTAAGAAGTTCTTCATAATAAATTAGATATATATATATATTTAATATATATTTTGGTAAAATTATACACCCCACTAAATTTGACTAAAAATACAATTATATTTATTATTATTATTAGAATGACGAGATTTAAATAAATTAGATTCTCATAGCCAATTAAAAACAGGTCAAAATTATATGTCATGATAAAAATATAAAATATCTTATAAATAAATGATATAATAATAATTAAAGAATTTCCAAGTAAAAAATAGATTATCGTAAATTAGCAATTTTTTTATTGCATAATATAAATAATATAACTTAATTTTTTAAAAAAAATTAAAAACTTAAATATTTCGTAAAGAGAAACGTCAATTTAGATGTTCATTTACCGCTCAAACAAAAACTTCACTTCTACAAAATTAGTTTCTATATTTCCGTTCTATGTTTTTTCGTCATATTCGTCATTTTTCTTGCCATCTGGATTCCAGAGAGAAAGAAGTAAATTAATATTTAAAAGAAAACATATATACATTATACTAATATAATGAGGGAGTCACTGGCCAAGGAGAAAAATTTTGAATGAAAATGAATAAATACTTTATTGGCAAGTATAACTCAATGGTTGAAAACGAGCTAGATATTAATTAATGATAAAACATAATAATATTAAAAATAAAATATGTTTTTTTTATTCGACACAAATTTCCTAAATTTTTAAAAATAATAATTAGAAAAACATTAAGGATATTATGATTTTTTTTTAAAGAAAGAATTGTTCCAAATCCAATATCTTAGTCAAATTTAAATACATTTGTAATCATTATATTTATTTTTCCAATATCCAAAAGTCATAGTAGATGGTCAGAATTAGTGTTGTTAAACTGCTCGATTTGAGCCGACAAGACTAAAGATTTTGTTCATATATGGCACAAAGGTTTAAAAATCTATTAGCAAAATCTCGCGGCTTGGGAAATATTTTTCTGTCTAAAATATTGAGTTAGCCATTTAACAACACTAGTCAGAATATATTTTGCCTCACAATTTATAAAAAAATGAAAAATAAGCATTACTTTAGAAAGATTTATTTTATATAGTAATTTATATAAAATATAAAGGGTGAAATAAGCTATAAAATTTGTTTAAAGCAATTTTTTTTTGTGAACCATTTGATTTTAGGTAGAATAATATATCGAATGATCTTTAATATTTTTTTTTGTCTTCAGATATCGCAAAAAACTAAAAGCTGCTACGGCCTCTTCAATTAGTATGAAATTTAATTATTTTTGATCATTTAAAATAAGTTTTTATAATTTAATTATAATGGATTTTTTTTATTAAGGTACCCTAAGATACTATTTATTTAAAAACTAATCTGCTAGTAATAAATATTAACGTTAGTAAAACTTTGAGCAAAAAATTTGTTATCCATTGAAATTAGATACGTTAATAAAAAGTCTATATTACTGTATAAATAATACATTTATTTTACATAGGTACTAAAAATGAGTCAATATATCATAATAATTCTTCTCTCGGAATTCCTTCCAACACCTTAAACGGGTAAAATATAGTGTATAATATTTATTTAATTTTCGTAAAGTTAAATGATAATTATATACTTAACGAGATAAAATACTATACATAAAATTAAATCGAGTATACATTTTTTTTAGGGATTGATTCTTGTTTTTATATATATTAATCTCTTTGGGATATGGGAATCTGTAGAGAATTTGGCTCGATTTTAAATTATTTACTTAGGATTATTTACAAAATTTTGAAATTTGATTTCAACAGAAATGTCCTCAGCATGTGCAGAGGTCTGACCCGACCACGTCCGACAGTGTAGTCGGGTTTTCTAAAATATTTTTACCATTAAGTAATGTGCGGGCGTTGGAGCGTAAATTTTTAAAATTTTTAGGCGAAAATGAGCAGAACATACTTCAATATATTTAAAATATAAGTTGTATTTCATAATATGGCACATTATTCAAGTAATTAAAAATACAATAAAATAAATAAATAAAGAGCCAAACCAGCCGCCGGGCGGGCGAGTTAAACAGAATTTTTAGATAACTGGGAGGACGGGTGAGTAACATTTTTTTAAAAAGTTATAAGCGGGCTGGTGAACGTCTAAAAACGAGTTAGCAAGCTTTTTGGCTTAAAATCCGCCCATTGCAAACCTCTAATGTATAGAGTACCTACCCTATAATTTTTCTACAACTTTCACCATAAACTTTTGTATATCGTATGTATATATATTTTTTTTATTTAATATGAAAAATCCATATAAAAATCATCATGATAAATTAATTGTAGTTATAAAATTCATGATAAAATTATTCGAAATTCACAATACGGATACTCTATGCATGTTGAAATATATTTCTGGTTAAATCAGATTTTTAAAATATGAAAAATGCATTTAATAAAAGATTTAAAATCGAAAGATTCCGAATTGCCATAGCTTCCGTTCCTTATGCCATAGAGATTGTTTAGCAAATCTAAGTTTTTGGAAATAATTTTAAGACTAAAATCATTTTTTGGTGATCCCATACTATAATCGTATTCTAAGCATGCATAGACTACCTTATGAATTTCAGACAATTTTGCCATAAGATTTTATACGCTTAAAATAATATATTCCTTATAAATTCAAATATATTCCAAAAAAAATGAAAGTTCATAGAAATGGTCTGAAATTCACAAGGTAGGTAACCCTCCATATATCCTGAAATATAATTCCATCAAAAAAATATTAAAAGGGTTTGTAAAAATTATTTCCGGTTTAGAGGAAAATCTGGGTTAATGGAATATAGCTTTGATTTTGTTGAACCCTAAGCATAATTGACAATCTTTTAAAAACTAATATTATATTCTCAAAAACTTAATAATTGATGAAATTCATAATAATCCCTTAAATAATGTCTTAAAGTATATAAATATCGTATAAAAATCCTCAAACTAAAAATTTAACAATGAAGTGTCCTTTTATTGTTCTTATTTTACTATATATATAGAGGAAAAACAGAATATAGAATTGAATATACAAAAATAATTTTAATAAAACAAAATAGAATTAATTTCCATTACATTAAAAGTCAATAAAAGTACAACGCATGTCCATATAAACTGATAAATCTTCTCCACTACCATATTTATATCATTTACTAAATTCATTTTACTCTATAATTCCGTATTTTTAATATCCTTGGATGACCTATCATCCCCTAATATTCTTGTATTACCCCAAATCATCAACCTTGTTCAAATATGTTCTAAGACCTTTATTTTCATTAATATGTTTCGAGATAATCTCCCTTTTATTTCAAATCTTACTACCATTTTGATATGCTGTTAACAATCTCAAAATTGAGATTCTTTGTAACGAAATTTATTTCTGATTTTAATATTTGCTATTTTATTATAACTGTGTTTATACTTGGATCGGCAACACTTGATCTTTAATTTACCCTTTTGCTATCATTCAGACTAGGGATGCCAATAACCGTTTTCCTTTTTTTAACTAATATTTTCTTAATGATATTAGCTATCATTTTTCTTTTAGCTAACAATTTCTAAATGATATATGTTTTTATTAAGGTACAAAAAAATTATATCAAAATTTTTAGGGGGATTTTCAATTTTATTTGGGGTGTTCGAACCCATGTGCACCTCCCCCCCTCCCCACCCCTAGTGATGGTGGTAATACAGTCATTTATCTTGAGCATGTATATAAGATGCTCACCTTTCAACATTAAAAAAAAACCTTCTTGCATCATTAAGATTTTCAAATAATTTTGTCAAATTTATCTGATTTTTAGTCAATTCTCAGTTTTCAAGTTACCTGTTCGCTCTTTCTTTGCGAGAAACCTCCATTATTTTTAGAAAATATATTTGCGGTATTTTACTATTGTGATCTAACCACATTTGGCACATATAAATTTCACATTTTTACTTTCATAAAACCTTGAAATATGTCTATATCGCACACAACTAGAACTTCTTGCTTCTTGACCATTTAATGTTTAATATCCTGACTTATTGATAATTAACATTTTCTCTTCTAAAAATATTTCCAACAATATACACGAAACGATCAAATCCTCTAAATTATCATTTCCAAAATTATTTTCCAACCTACCATTTCAAAATTTATTCTCGAAATTTTATTTTAGAAATATACTTTTAAAATTACCCTATTTAAAATTATGATTTTTCTTCTATGAGGCTATCCACCTGGACTATTATCTTACCTATTATTCTAAATAAATAACTTATTTCCTTAAAGTATTCCTATCTTTCATTGTAAGTTACCATGATAATTTCTTCCTGGTCATCATGGCATCAGTGATTGCCGCCTGATTTATATTTTCCTTTTTTTGAAGTTTCTTCTAACATTAACGTCAATTTAAGTACACTTCCCCAATGCTATTCCTTATCAGGCAAAATTTTTATCAAAAATGGTAAATGTCAAAATATATTAAACAATGCATATCGTTAATGTGGAAACAATACAAATACAGTGTCCGCAATATTTTGGTATTGTGACATTTTGTTAATTCTAAATTTTTTATTTGCATGACATCATTTCTGTATATGAAATATAAGAAATAGTTGATGAGCTTTTAAGAAATAATTTTGTAGTCCCAAAAAATTAATTGTTGACAAAATAATTCATTATAATTCGTAATTAATTTCCTCAAGTTATATAATACTAAATGAAACCTAGAAATTTGAAAAAACAACCAAGTGGCCCTTTTGTTGTTTTTTTTATACTTTACTCCATATATAAAAAATATACAAAATAGAGAATTATTAAGTATATAAAATATAATTTATAATAAAACAAAATACCAATATTTTCCACTACACTAAGAAAAATTTAAAAATATTACAACACATATCCAATATAAATTAATAAATCTTCTCCATTATGGTAAAGGTAAATAAAAGTAAAGTAAATGCAAAACTTTAATTTGAACTAGAGCGAATTCATGACGAAGTATACAAAATATGATATGAATCGCGAATTTGCGCTAACTGTGAATGCGGGGTTAAAAATGTAACATTTAGAAGAATTTAGAAGGATTAAGAGATTATAATCGTTGTCAAATAAAGAAAGGTTAGAACTAAAATGATACTAAATCTTTATTAAATAATAAGATTAAAACATAAGCAAAATAAATTAAAATAAAAAATTAAAGATTAAAAAAAAATTAAGTTCGTAAAATCATAATTTAATCCTTTATTCAAAATTATAACATTTTCAAATTAACAAAATTATAAAAGTAAAAATAAGAAAAAAAATTAATAAAAAAAATAAATAAAAAAAAATAAGAAAAATACAAAAAAGTTAATAATTATAAAAGATCATTTTGTATGGTAAAAATTGGCCTTTTTATACTTTTTTCAATCTTCTTTATAATTAATATTCATAACTATTCAAATATAATATTTTTATCACGCGTTATAATAATAAATCCAAAAAAATTCTTTATGCAAATTAAATATAAAGTACAAATTTAACTAATCTAAAATTTACAACAATTACCTCGACAAAATAAACTCTTAATTTTATACTTTTAAGACATACTCTGCAATGGGCCGAAAATAATTCGAAAATGTACGCCGATGAACAATGCGAAGAACGTAATAGGTGAACAGACAATTTTTACATAAAATAATGCAAGTTAAGGTTTATTTAGAAATTTTTTTTTTAATATTTATAATTATTCATTAGCAATGATAAATATGTAAAAAAAAAATCATTATTATTATCTTTTAAAAGTAACATTAAAATAAATTATTGAAAGCAAAATTTCATCATCCGATATATGGAACAACATATCTAATCCCAGCCTATATTCCCATAACAATAATAATCACAACAGTATTAACAACGGAAACCCAAACGTACGGCAAAATCCCTCATTGAACGATAACTACTGCATTATAGATCAAATCAGCCCTTCAGAGCAACAGCTTCGCAATAATAAAAACGACAAGATTTTAAAACTCATAAATGATGACTTTGCCAAAATTCAACAGAAACAATTGGACGAAGCCTTAAGACTCAAATTATAGCCAATTTATCATATTTTTTAGTTGAAGATAAAGGGAAACTAGGTCCCATTCCTATTTAAAATATTATTTTTTAGGGATTTTATGGTACAAAAAAAATTATACAAACATAGGATTCGCCGAATCTATAAAGACTTGGGCTTCACTAATTGATAGATATTTATTTTTTAAAGGAAATTGAAAAGGATAAAATTAAATGATGAGAAAGTTATTTTTTCGAATCTCTCAAGTCACTCCTACATTCATTTTTTTTAAAAAAAATAGATAAATTATTCTTATTGTGTAATATATAAATGAACTGTTTTTAATGGCAATATGGTTCAAAAAAATAGCCTACTGATTTTTTATTATATAATATGAATAAATAATCGACATGCATTTAAATTGAATAAAAAATTTTCTATTAGTTTGTGAATAATATATGGAATTTAAAAAAAAATATTAATAACATGGATATCAGGAATCTTATCTTGTTAAAAAAAATATATTTTTGGACAAATATTTAATTCTGAAAAGAGGAGATTATAAAGATATTTATATTATATTTATGAGGAATCTAATTCAAAATATATAATTTTAGTAATAAAATTAATAGCAAAATAAAAATAAAGAGATCTATTTGCAAGTTCAGGCCTCTATTTTCTCCCGATCGATAACATGACTTTATTTCCTTCATTTAATCCACGTCGTATTTAATAAGTTTCGCCTTATCCATTTCGCGCCTTCTTTTTTTTATCAATTTATTTTCGCATCCAAACATATTCGGGCCATTGACTCAAGCAAGCTATTTGCACATTCGAATATTTGGCATTAGCTTTTACCTTATAAATGACTACGATATGATATTATGACAATGGCCACCACCTTTAAATCCAGAATCTTCGCTTTCTGCTTGAAACATACACATACAAATAATGATGTATTTTATATTCATGGACCAATCATTAATAGGTGGCTCTCGATTAAGACTTTCACCTTTTTCCCAGAACGCTTCCCCGCTTCTACCTAAATGAAGCACTTATTAAAATTGATTTCTAATGAGTAAAACCCTCTCTAACTGATTCTTGCAATCAACGAGCATATCATTCCCATGCTACACCAAATTTCTCTATTCTTGTCACCAATTTCCATCAATTTTTCCAACTCTCAAAAAATACTCTCACCTGAGGGCATTCAACGAGGAGATCCACTTGGATCCCTTTTATGTTGTCTTGCAATCAATAATATAAATCAAACCATTAATTCAGATTGCTCACTTGTACTCCACGTCTGGTATATATATGACAGATTCATTAGTGGACCTTAATTGTGAACCAATAAGACTGTACATTATAAAGGAAATGGGATGTGATGTTGGTCTCATTCAAGTTACCCACTAGGCGGATTCACGGCTAACACTGCCTTCCTCCTCCACTCTACTCTTTGTATCCTTCGCTTGGTGACCTCATTGACTTCCTACCCTAGCATAAATCATTCTTCCTCCTTAAAAACTTCTTCAACATTCCATGCATACTTTTTTTAAAATATCTCATCTCTCACTCTCAGTATTTATGAAAAAAAAAAGTTCTAGCCGAAAATATTTTGTATCTAAAATTCAATAAACAGCATGGGCTCAAGCTTCATTTACCCAACAAACGTGGTTTAGGAATTAGATCTCCCACCGTTTTTTCTCTCACACTGCCTTTCTTTATTTCTTTCTTACTTTCGAAACCAACAATCATTTTCCACACCTCACAAAATGCTTAGATGATGCTATCCTGCTATGGAAGATACGAGTAGATGTCCCATAGCCCGAATCCGATAGATAGAAGGATTGGGAGAGGCCAGATGTAGTCTGTTGCATTATGTCAATATAATAATTTTAAGTTAAATTCATTGAATGAAAAAGTGAACACCCTTTAATATAGGATATTATTAAATTATTCTCTTTATGAAGATAAAGTTCAGATAATCTTTTTAAAAAATTTTTCACTTATTATAACGTATGCCGACTTCTATTTTAATAATAATTAAAGAGATGGAAAATAAATGTTAATTTGAAAGTACCATAACAATTCAGCATTTCCAAGATTTATTAATTCAGTAGGACTCATTTTTAATATTATATTAACTATGACTTCGTCACTTTCATGCCATAACTTTGCATCTAATATCTAGATTGGCATGTGAAAGGAAAATAGACTTAACTGTAATCAAGTATTAATTGAAACCCAATGATATTCCTCAATCAGGGTTTCTAACATCTGGACTACACACCCCACTCAAAAATAACTATATTATTTGCACATATAAATATATATGTTTAGTATATGTGTCAATGAGTGAAAAATATAATGCGCCAAATTCGACTAGTTAAATGTTTTAAACATTATATTTTATATGATCTTTCATTACACATGCCGGAAAAAATAAAGGTTCAAAATAAAATTACAACAATCCTCCTGATAACAATAAAACTTAAGCGGAAAAACAAAGTTCATATGGATAATTATTTATTTGTGATCTAAATAAAAGTATCAGCTGCTTACCAAGAAAATAATTTATTTATAAATTATATCAATTTGAATATAAAATAGTAAATGCCATATATATATATTATGCATTTCGATAAAAAAAATAACTGATAAACATTTTTTCAAGAGCATTGTGCGAGAATGCTAGATACATTTATATCTCCACCATCAAAACGATATTGATAAAAATTTAGTTTAGGTAGTCTCCAGGATATACTCTTTAAAATAGTATTTGGGTAAGTTTCCAAACTTGTTAAGGTAGAGAATTGGAGTTTAATCGCTAAGGAATTATTGTTAATTATTATGTTATAAAGACAGATAATAGATTGTTAAACATTATTCTTTCATTCTTTCTTTTTTCTTTCTTTCTTTCTTTCTTTCTTTCTTTCTTTCTTTCTTTCTTTCTTTCTTTCTTTCTTTCTTTCTTTCTTTCTTTCTTTCTTTCTTTCTTTCTTTCTTTCTTTCTTTCTTCTTCTCTTTTCTTTTCTTTCTTTCTTTATAAATTTATTTATACCTACATTTACATCTGTAGCTAGGCATATGTGTTCCAAGTTATATGCTTGTTTCAAAATACAGTAACTAATCGTTGCTCCCATACTATTCAAATATATTTCAATCTTATATAAAATATAATAAATAATCACTTTTGATTTAATTTGAAATGTTAGATTGCGTGCATGCATCTCCCTTATGTTTAACCATTGAATCTGATCAAACAAATTTAATGTTTTAATCGTTATAAATTCTGTTGAATGCGTTTCTAAATCCATGTAACCTCCTTGGATAAAAGTTTTTATTGACTGGTTATTTCTACTGAGATACAGTTCGGAGAATCTTTGTTTTAAAATATTTATTAAAATAATTTTCAGAGGGAATAAAATGATATTGTTTCAATTTTTATCATTGAAAATATAAACTTAGAAGGATTTCAGAGGAATAAAAGTGGGAAAACGGGATAAAAATATATGAGGATATTATTCAATGTAAGATATGAATCTAATAACATTGAAGTTCAAGATAGTTAGTCCAGCAGGCTTTCGCTATAGTATATATATATATATGACTCTAATATCTTTGATAGCTTGGCTAGGAAGCCCTCGCTGTGGATATAGATATATTCCCTAGATTCAGCCTTTTTACGAATCCATCAAAATTATCCTTAAAAATAAATTATGTGCCTTTGAAATGGTATCCTATAAAAACTATAAAAAAATTTGAAATGATTATAATTTATAATTAAATTTTAAAGAAAAATAAATATTATTCCTTTATTTTCTAAATGTAAGCCAATTCCAACCATATATTTTTTTATTTATCTTGATGACATCATGATGCCAAAATATATTTTCATTTTGTTAAAAAAAAATTTATATTATAATTATAATTATTATAAAAAATATTTAATAGTAGTCATTGGGAGAAGAAAATGGATTGAAGCTCTAGTGAAAAGAAATGATAACAATGATAAATATGGGAAATTTTAGGAAAATATTAATTAAACTAACGTTAAAGTCGTTTATAAGAGGATACCTTATGATCGATCTTTTCAAGGATCCATTTATCTATAAAATTTAAACTATAAATCTTATTTACCTTGATTTGTTAATACTTATAGAAACTGTTATAAAAAAGTCATAATATCTGTGTATTAGGTTTGGACAATAGAGGAAAGACCAGAGCTTGCCGGCCCACATTCTTTTAAATCAAGTCGAAAATAATTATCGTATTTGTATTTATAATATACTATGAGATAGCCTATATAATACTCAAATAATTTTAATATTTAATAGTTCTTTCTAATAATTAATTCTAGCAAATGTACATTTTAAATATAACATGTCCCAAGTGATTAATGAAGTCTCCATTAGATAATCAATATTTCTATTTCTTTATTTTAATATATAATGTTTTATTGTTATAATATTAACATCTCTATATATAAATAATTCATATAAAAATAATAAAAGAAATACTCACTCTTTTATCCCCTCTGAATTATATACATTGAATAAGCCAGGACGCATTACTAAGCATAGATCGTTAAAATCGATATCTATATTAAATAATAAAATATTAATTTGGAAATATTTTTCTTTCATGGGCGTGATATTTTTTTTAAAAGCTTGAAATTTACTACTTATGAATATAAAGTTTGTATTTTTTTCAAATTATAATTTATAAAACTCTGATTTTATATTAGTCATTATAAAATGGTTTTCAAAATATTTCATGCTTTTTTTTATATTATTATTATTTAAAATATTTATATTTAATATAAGCCATACATTGAAGACTAGTATCCTGCTTTCTAAAATTAACATTTCATGCAAGGTATGATTTCCTTAACGATTTATTGCAAAATTAGCTTAAAGACTAATATCCACTTTAAGAAAATTCATTATAATTATTAACTTATATATTATTTCTAAAATTTCAAATTCAAGGTTAAATGAGGCCTTACACCAGGATATTTACATGACTTTTTTAGAATTAATGCGTTTATATATTAAGATTAAT